AAAAAAAAAAAAAAAAAAAAAAAAAAAAAAAAAAAAAAAAAAAAAAAAAGGGCCATTTTCACTCCACAAAATTAATGTGGCCTGGGGTCGGTGCCAGGAAAAAGCTGCCCCTTATTTATATATTTTAACAGAACAAGGCAAAACAGTTTGCTGCTAGAAATAAACATTAAACCTTGCAGAAACTCCCCCCCTCCCAAAAACCCACTGCTCTCCCCCCTCGCTCCCTCCTCCGCCTCCTCTCCCTCCAACATTGTAAGTAGCACAAAAGATCACATTACAAATGCCAGCTGTGGCTCTTTCGGAAGGTGGCCTCCATCTCAGAGGTAGTATATGTTCCTCATGGCCTAAGTGGTTGCTATGGTAAATATGCTTTTTATTGAATAGCAGAGTGAAACAGCTTTTAAAGAGATCCATAAGAACCCCATAAATGGTCAAAACACAAAGCAGATCAACCTCAGCCTCCCTGAAAGCAGGTTTCGCTTCGTTTTCCAAAATGATTGTGATTCTTGAACCCTTTTTGTATATTTTGTTGACCACTCATCTCCACCTTGCCCACACCTGGGTGGAAGGGTTAGAGGGAGTCAGAGGAGCTGAGACCCCTGAGCACCACAGGCAGCTTTGGGTTTTTAAGGCTCTCCTGTGGGGCAGGAGGCTTAGGGACAGTGGATGCTCAGCACTGGGAAGCTCAGGTGATCCCAACCAAACTCATCCTGCCCTCCCCACGGCAACTACCCAGAAAAAGCCTCTTGCTCCCTCTCCATCTTTTCCTAAGAGTCTGACACCACTCCACCATGCCAGAGCCACAGGAACATTCCCACCCTGTGTCAGTCCTCTGGCACACCAGTTATAAGAAAAGAATTAAAATAGGAAAGTTTCTCTAGCTCATTTCTTATTAGGAGTAAGATGACATCAGGTTTTGATGACTGTAGATTTCTGATTAATCAGCCAGACATCTTTTCTCTGATCTCTTCCTCCAGTGACAGCCCAAGTGGACAGGAAGGAAAAGCAAAAGAATTCTGAAAAAGTGAAGCAGCTAGCACTAGATATCAATGGGGCAGATACCAGTCTTGTTCCAGTTGCTCTCTGATGGTTTGAAGGATGGTTTAGAAGTTGTTGATTCTAAAACAGGAAATCTTTTTTTCCTTTTGAATAAAGAATTATGACACTCATCACAATGGGCTGACAATTCTCAATTTAAAGAGGCAACAATGGAAAAGAAGCACCTCAAAATGTTTTGTATGATTTGAGATTTCTAGCAAAACCAATGTGTGCCATGGATGATCTACTAGCTGTGTCAGCTCTAGACTATAGAGCAGAAAATAAAGAATGAGCAGATTCTTTTCCTGGTATTTACCTTATCATCCAGTGGTTATAAAAAAGTTCTTTGTTTTCTTTTTTTAAATCACATTAAATTTGATGATGAATTTTTTTCAGAAGAAATATTCTAACCCACTACATGCCATTCTCTCCAGAGGTAAATGTCCCAGATGCATAGTCAGAGCTAAGATGCGCCTTAACAATAAATGGCCCTGACCCTGGCTGTGGGTGAGGATGGACCACTGCATATCACTGCTTTTGCAAATCACCTCATAAACATTTCCTTCTAGATCTCTGTGAATGCTATTTTAGAAAGTAAAATAAACCCCCAAACCACTCTCATGTAAATTTGTACTGCACATTGCAAACTCAACATTGTTTTCACAACAGAAGCACAAGAAAAAATAACTAAGAAATGAAAATTTGAGTTAGACGTTAATAAATAGCAGCATTTTTAAAAATACTATTAAAGAGAGTTATATATTTTGCAGGTAGTAATAAACATTTGATAACAATCTTTCTGCTAAATGAGAAGACATCACAACACACAGGAACATGTGCTTTGTTGAACTTGGCCCTTTTGAGTCTTCACCCAGGTGAAAATCCTGACCTACTCTCAAACTCTCACCCAAGATCTGACAATAAGAAAAGATTTCTTTAAGTAAAGGACATAGAATAGGCTTGGTTTTGATTTTTCTAAGGCAGTCTTAAGTCTAAACCTTCCAGACAGTCTCTTCACTTCAACACTGTCAGATGTGTAAACCAGCCTGACTGGACTCCACTGCCTCTATATAACGCTGCAATGAGTAAATTTAGAGTATTTTTCTGACTCCCTAGTCTCCTGCAAGCCACATGGATGATAATTTCATAATTTCAGCCCAGAGATAACAAAAGTATTCCCTCCTTTTACCACAAGCTTGTTAAGGATTTGTTTGTTTTGAGGTATTTCTCCTTTGGTCTGTGTAAAAGAGAACTGGTGACAACCATTGCCATTAATGTCAAATGCTTTTTTTTTTTTTTTTTAAACAAAGAAAGAACATCTTTCTGCGTTTACTTACAACAATGTGTGCTGGAGATGGAGACCTAGCATCCTTGAGGGCTTGTCTACTCTGAAGGCTCCCTGCCTGAACATCAAGCAGTGGCCATTTCATCTGCAGATACTGGATGAAGGAAACAAAAATGGGAAAAGAAAAATGAGTTCAGAAAAGAAAGGCAAAAAAAAAATAACAAATCTTACGTAACATGGATAAAAAAGTATAAATCAAAACTTATGCAAGGAACTGAAACAAAAATTAAGACAACCTTACATGTTTGTGGATACAAAATCTGTGCAGAACTAACAATCTCATACCACTTCATTACAGTTCAGGAATAAGAAAAAAACAGGTTACAAAGACAGTATTATATTAATTTTACTAATTGTAGCAAGTCTAGAAGTAGCACAAAACCCACAGACAACAAAATAGCATAACCATGGAGAGGATGGGACAAGGGAAAAGGTGGATATCAGTGTCAGGAGAGGGAAAACATATAATGAATTAAGAATATGATCTCGTTACTGAACGGGTCATCTGTCAGCCTTCTTTCAACAAATGTACCAAGTCAACTGCTCCAACTCCCCAGTGCTGTACAAGCCCTAAAGACAGAGCACTACCCCAAAAAGACCCAGTACTGCTGGGTCTTAGCACCTATTTTCTCTACATTTCACCATTTCTGGAAGACACCATGGATTTTCTTCCTGCTCATCTTCTGCAGATAACCCCGGCTCGGGGACAGTGCAGCTTCCCTGTGGCACTGCCAGCAGCAGACAGGCTGAACACACACAGGTGCCACGTCTGCAGCATATGGGGGCACTGATTCAAAAGCAAGAAAAGCTTCAGCTCGCTGCACCAGAAGTGCTCAATTCTGAACAAAAGCTGGTCCACAGAGAAATTAGTTATCCCAAACAAACTTCTGTGCTGTACATCTAAATATAATTTCAGGCCAGGCTTTTTTCTCTGCACGCTGCCGTGCTGTCCCAGTTAACACAGGTTAATACAGGACTTCTAAAAGCCCTGTACTGTGCTGGAAGAAATGTGTACGGCCACATATGTTCAGCCCCCTCCAGAACTAAGAAAAGCAGCTGCACACATAGATCAGGCCACTGCAGAAGCTCCTGTTTAGCACTAGACACTGCTTGACCTGACAGGTCTATTCCTAGAAAATACCTACTAGGAAATAATTATGTTTACCCATTCCTTCCTTTTTTTTTTTTTTTCTTTTTTAAAGTAAAAGTAATCTTGAAGAACCACCATGCACAAACAGCGGAAGCTGTATCTGAATCTCCATGGAGGAAGGAAGGAGATCTGGTTCCATGCTTTCAGCACATCACTATCTATCACATTTGCTCACGTATGCAAAACATTTGCTCACATGCAAGGCAAGACTCTGGGCACTGAGGTGCCCAAAAAGCAGGAGCCAGCAGGAGAATGTGTTACCAATTCCCATCACTTGGAGGGCCTGAGTTTTCCGAGCTACTGGAATGCAAATAAACAAACCCATACTCTGGATTTGTGCCCCACATGAGTTCCACAAGTTCCAAGAAGTCTTGTTTTTATTCATGTTCACATTTGGGATTTGTGCAATGTGGACCAGAATGTTTCAGCACTTCTTAAAAACAAGAAATAAAACCCAAACAAACCAGAACTAGACTACCGATAAGCAGTATTTCTAACTCTTACAACTCAATTGTAAGTCTCCAGATATTTGATCACTTGCATCAAATCCCTGCTCTTCAATATATGTGACCACAACATAAATTTTAAAGTTGAGATGATGTTAAAGCAACTTTCTAACCCTTTGTGGTTTCAAAAAAGTGCATAAAAATGCAACCCGAGTGTGTAGAATTTGGACCCAAAGCCTAAACCAACTGAGAGCCAACTTTTAAACTTGAGGGGAAATCTAATACATTACAGATTTTCAGATGGCACTATTAAACAAGTAAACTGCTACATTTTCAAAAGTCCAACAGTTTTCTTAGACAGCAATCAAAACACCACCACATACAGGGGCGCATGAATTTCCAGAACAGGTCCTGATGGGTCACAGCTACTACTGGCTTAGTCTGATTTTCCAGACAATCTGTGAAGTATTTTTCCCTTCTTCCAAGGAAAACGTCCTCACAGGATGTGTGCATGACTCTGCTTCAAAGTTCACAATGGTTTTTGGAGAGCAAAAAGCTACTGCTGCCACAGCTGAAGCCCCTACAAGAACATGACAGCTCAAACAGTGGCTTTTCATGGAACAGACACCAAGCCACTACCCACAAAAATAAACTCGTCACCTTCATTTTTCCATGACCATTCCACAGTCACAAGCAACCCTGGAATATCTGTACAACCACGACAGCCTGTGAGGAGCTCAGGTCAGCAGCTGTCCTAAAACACAGACTGAGAAACACGTGGGCTTCTCTGAGACCGCTCCAAGGGCAGACAGAGGCATTGACAAGCAGCAGGGGCAAGCTCACAGCAGACCCCATCCAGTCAGTAATTATTGCAGGGATTACAAAGCCTTCAGGACTGTCAGTTGTGCTGTTTTTTACTAGCAATAAATTCCATTAGAAGAAACAGAGCAAGAAGGCATGGCTGCTCCCACTCCACCTCTATCCCACAACAGCCCGTGCTTTCAGCTCCTACACCAGGCTGACCTAAGGGCAAGATGAACGTTTCAGAAGATCTTACTGTTACACTTTTTTTTCCTCCTTTTAAAACCCTTAGTCTGGACTCTCAGTAAAGCCCTTCTCTTACCCACCCCTGGCAAAGAGGATCCAAGAAGTCTTACAGTGCAAAGGCTAAAGCACAAACAGCTTCTTTTGGACATGCACATGAAACCCAGCAGGAACAGTCCAAACCCAGAGGGCTCAGTTTTGCACATAAGCACAGACATGGACAGCTTCCATTTCTACCAGTGGATAACACACCAGTGGGAGACAAAATAAAACCAAATAACCAGACCCAAGGGAAAGCAGTAAAGCACAAGGGTCGATAAAGCAACTTCCATGAGCTCTACCAAGTGGCCAGGATCCAGAGCAGCCTCAGCCCCGCTAAGGGTGAGATATTCTGTCTGTCAGATAAGCAGAGGGGGCCAGAGCCCACAGTCAATGCCCACGTCAAGCTAGTGAACCCACCTTCAACAGCAGGATGTTTGCAAAAGCAAAAAAAATGTTTGCTGGCTTCAAAATGCCAGCGCTGTTGATAAAGTATGAAATATTAGCATTGTTTAAGGTGACAAGCCTGACTCGAGGCCTCCTCATCCAAGAATTGTCATGCCTGTAACACAATATTGATGTGGTGGCTTATAATTCTTACTTTACATAAAAGCCTCATTGTGTGCCAAATTCAATCTCCACAGGCTACCTGAGCCACAGATTTTTACAAGTCTACATTTCAGCGCTGCGAGTCTACAATACACATAATTTTCAATTATGTTAGGGCAGAACAGGATCACTGCCTATATAACATTACTGGTTGGAGGAAATGAGACTCAGCCCTACTGCCGAGAGAGCTAACTGGATCCAGATGGTGGCCAGCCCAGGGAGCGACGTCGCAGCAGCCACCCCCTCCACAACTCTCTCTTTCACAGTGCAGGGACATGCCAAGCCCTTGCTGGGGCTGGGAGCTGTGACAGGAGGATGCTTGGGCAGGGGGGGAGTTGCATCACCTCGGGGAAGAGGAGGGAGAGCTGTGATTGCTCCCACAGGTTTACTACTCCTGCCCTACACTATGATATTCTTATTAAAAAGGAGAAAAATTAAGTCCTGCTACAGCAGAGAGGTAAATCCTTTCCTTCCTCAAGCAACTAAATAGCAGGAAATCCTCTTCTCTTGGCCCTAAATGTAGATTTGAGCCAGACAGTTCCTCTGATTTGCAAGGAGTCCACAAAAATCCAAAGCTGACTTTCCCAGCCTTCTGACACTGCTTCTACATTCCTGCACTGGGAAGCTGGGAGGGGGCAGAAGGGTTGGAGGGAGGGGAAGTTCCCACCAGCCTGCTGGACACCCGCTCACTCCTCTCCTGCTTCTTGTGTCTCGGGGTGGAAAATCAGGACTTGCCTATACAAATACTGAACTTTTCAACAAATTAACTCTAACAAATCTGTGCAAATTATTTCAGAACAAAACTGTTGAAATGGGCTCTGCTGGCCTGCTTCTAACATTTCTTTAAAATAATGTCATCATGGTGCAAGTACTTTATTCCCTGTTTAACAATATGATCTGATGGGGATCATTAGCATGTGTGCTTTAAAAAAAAAAAAAAGTTTTATGGCAAGTCTCAGAGAGCTTAAGCAAAATAATTGTTAAGCTCCAGGCCTCCACACAAGAATTAAAACAAGTATGGGGCGAGCATACTTGAGAGAAACCAAAGCTTTTAAAAAGGCTGTTAAATTGTCAGCACAAGGGAAAAAGCAAATTATTTGAATGGCCCAGATTTTTTCTGTAAAAAGGAGCAAAAAAAGAACCTTCCTACACATCCACACCTCCCATATCCAGCCAGGGGCTCCTGCAAAGCACAGACCCGCCCAGGAGCAGCTCTGCATAGCCACCCCCCAAAACAGCCACGTTCCTGAGCACTGGCTGGCCAAACAAACATCTTCCCCAAGTTTTCACAGCAGAGTTGGTCAAAACCAGCTGAACTTCACATCCAGCACTCGAGGAGTTTGCTGGAAGCTCTAACTGAGGGCTGGCAGCTGCCCCACAGGCTGGGGACAGGGCTCCCAGTGGTGCAGGCGTGGAGGAAAGGATGGCACTGAGCTCACAGGTGTTTCCTGCACTGGTGTCCAACCTGGATCTGTACCCCTGTCACACTATTGTTTTCTAGATTGCCCTGCAAGTGATGTTCTTCAACATATAAAAACATAAACACAGTAAGGGGAAAGAAAAGGCCATATTTTTAAACAGAAGGAAAGCTGCACAATGCTTTCCAGCTCAGGCTTCCTGCAGCTGGTGCTTATTAGCTCCCAGGAACTGAAACAAGAAGGAGCAGGGCTCCTGGAGTCAGCTTGATGCCACTGGTCTCCAATACCCCCCCTAACCACTGGATCACACCACCAAAGTCTGCACTTTCTCCCTGGATCTCAAATAGAAATATTCCTGATCCTAGTTTTGGAGTCAGTCTCTTCCTTG